TCCCTTGCTTCAAAACAGAGAGTGCCCAACTACGGCTCCCTGCTGTCCACGGAGGGTCAGTTCCAGATCTATGCCAAGACGGCCTATTACAAGGTGGGTGCGGGGATCCCGCCTGAGCGCACGGGGGAGCAGCCAGGAGCTGCGGGGAGTGGGGTGGGGTCAGTGGGGGGTGCTGTGGGGGGCTGGGTGGGATCAATAAGGAGAGAGGGGTGGATCAGTAGGGGGAACTGCGCTGCGGGGAGTAGGGCGGGGTCAGTAGGGGGAGCAGGGCAGGGTCAGTAGGGGGCGCTGCGAGGGCAGGGTGGGGTCAGTAGGGGGCGCTGTGCTGCGAGGGCAGGGTGGGGTCAGTAGGGGGCGCTTTCCCCTGACCAGTGTCCATAGATGTTAAACAGCTGCCCGGGGCGGGGGAGGTACAGGACCTACCCCCCATCTGAGCTCCCCCCAATCTCTTTCTCCAGGGGAACATCGTGGCGGTGAAGCACATCAATCGGAAGAGAATTGAGCTGACGCGGAAGGTGCTGTTTGAGCTGAAACACGTAGGTACCCGGCCAGCGCTCGGGCAGGTGGCTGAGCTGAGGGGCTCGGTGCGGCCGGGTGTTTCTGTTCGGCTCCGCGGGGGCTGCCCGGCTCGCACGGCTGAGGATCCAGGCGGTACTGGCAAAGGGGACACGTTACACAACTGCATACGTGCATTACGGGGCCCCCCCGCGGAGCACCCGTGAGCAGGAGGCTGGGCTGGGCTCTGTTGCCTTCCGCCTTCCTCCCCCTGCACAGACCCCAGCTTGGGGGGACCCGGACTCGGCCCCCGAATTCTCTGGATGGGAGGGGGTTGGTGGGACCCCTCCCTGCCCTGGGGCCCAGCTCCCCACTCCTCTGCAGCGGCTATTCACTGCCAGAATGTGGTATGTTGTGTGTGGGGGTGAGGTCTGACCCCCCCCACCCAGCATCCCCATTGCTAACGATGCTCCTGCCTCTCGTTAGTGCCTGGGCCTGTGCGCCTGTGTTCGGAGAGGAGAAAAATACTGACCCCCACCCCCACCCCCCAGCCTCATGCCAAGAGCCTCTTGGCAGCCCCAGGCCTGGGCTGCAGCCACCACGCCCGGAGCGGGGCCTCTGGGCACGAGTCCCACCCCCACCCCGAGGGCCGTGCGGGGGAGGAAGGGGGGAGCGAGAGCGGGGGCGAAGGGCAGTGCGGGAGAGACCTCGCCAGGAGACGCTCATGCCCCTTGCTCTAGCCCCACCCAGCCTGCCCTGAGCGAGCCGAGCGCCCGGCCTTGCCCTGGCTCCCTCCTGGGAGCCCAGCCCGGAGCCTTCCCTGGCCCTGCACACGCGTGTGCGGATTCACACGTGTACAAAGTCACGCGCACACACTGAATTCCCAGGCTCTGACTGGCCCCTCCCGTTAGACCTGGCAGCCTGCTGCCTCCCGCGGGCGCCCAGTGGGCGGGGCAGGTCTCTGGCGCTTGCGGCTGCCCCCAGGGCACTGGGAGAGCCCCCTCCAGCCTCTCGGCGCGGGTTGATCAGTCCCTAGCGGAGGATCTGGGGCGGGAGGCGTCAGCGCAGTGTCCCTGCAGGGCAGCCACCGCCCCTGGAGAAGGCGAGAGCCTGGCGTGTCCTGCCCCCTGCTCTGGGCCCCGCTCCCCTCTGTGTGTGGGGGGCTCTCCCAAGCCGCCCTGCCTCAGAGCCCCCATGGGCCGGGAGAGCTGTTAAGGCCTGGGGCTCCCTTGTACCCCCCTCCTCCGCCACACCCCTTGGCACCGGCCATGCTGGAGGCTTTTAATAGGGGTGGCTGGGCGCAGACAGACCCTGTGGTTCCCCCCAGCTTCCAGGCAGCCGTCCCAAGGGAGAGGCCGATTCCCTGTTGTCCTGCCTCTTCCACCCCTATTGACACCAGGGAGCAGGGGGGTGAAGCTGCTGTAAATGGCTGCGCGAGCAGCAGGGGGCCCAAGGCAAGGCCTTGTGGGGGGCAGCTGGAGCTGGGAGGGGTCTGGGGGCTCGCGCTGATGCTTGAGTCGCTTGCATCCAATTATGGAATGGATCCATCCGCCCAGCCTGCGCGAGGCAGTTGCGAAGCTGTGCTGGGCACCAGGGTGTGGAGCAGCCGCTGCAGACCTGAGGGGGGGCTAAAGGCAACGTGCCACTTTCACAGGCTGCGGGTCCACGTGTGGGACTCCCTGCTGCAGGACACCTGGTGAGCAGGGACTGAGCCAGCTCAGCTTCCGGCTGCCTGCCGGCTCACCCGGGGAGGTGTGACTCAGCAGGACCGGCCCCCACCGGGACACGGCTCTGTGGGAGGTGTGTCTGCGCCAGTGCAAAGCCCTAGTGTAGACATGCGGCAGCGCTGTGAGGCCCGTAGCGTCTCTGCACTAGGGGATGGCGTCGGTGCAAAGAGGAGCGAGGGCACGTGGACCCCGCCACTAGCAGCTGCTGCTGGCATCACAAGCACCATGCGAGGTGCGCTGGGCGAGTACCGGGGCGGGGGCAATTCTCAGCTGCTGCCTGAGGCAAAATGCCCCCCCACCTGTCAGCCCAGCAGGGCCTGGCCACTTGGCCCAGCCAGTGGGCGGGAGACAGGGCTGGACAGGCCAAAGGACTGTGCTGGATGGCAGCCACTCCTAGGGCTCCCCCCCACACCCCAGTAAACTCCTCGGGCGCCTTGGGGCACCAGCAGGAGGCGGCGTTGCACACTTGGGCCCTTTCTGCGCCGTGTGCCGAGGGGAGGGACCCGCTCCCTGGCAGGCAGGCGGGGCTGGCTCCGGGCTCTGCCACGCCAGGCTAATTACTCATTAGCAAGGAAGCAACAGGGAAGCCACTGTCCTTTCCTTGCTAATTAGAAATCAGCCTGAGCCAAGGGGCAGCACTGGGAGGAGGGGGAGCTTCCTGGATCCCTGGTTGCCATATGGGGCACTTGCCAGGCCCCACGTGGGGACAGTATCCTCCCCACTTCCCAGGGGGGGAAAACTGAGGCACAGGGTGGTTAAGGCCTGACTTTTGCTGGGGGTTGAGGCTGGTTACCAGCACTCCATTTCAGGCGCCTGGAGTCCGGCTCCCCTCCCTCCCTCCCTCCACTCAGGCCCATGGGGGCTGCTGGGCGTTACGAAAGCTGGTCCCTGGGCCTGGGCACCGGGTGCTCCTGCTGACATCAGCTGGAGCCGTGGGTGCTTGGCGCCGGTGAGTAGAGAGGTGCCCCTCCCCCACACAGCCCAGCCTTGGCACCGCAGCTGGGGGCCTGGGGCCGGGCAGGGCAGGGCTGGCAGAGTCTGCAGCCGGATGGGATGTCACTGGCTGGACAAATGCTGCCCGAGTGCAGGGCAAGGCCTGGCCCCTCAGGGCTCCGGCCAGCTCGGGGACCCAGCAGGCCAGGCTAGGAGCTGGGTTAAACGAGCCCTAGGCCTTCTGTGCGGGCCGGTCTCCCCCAGCGCAGGCTCCTGCACCGGGCGGGGGCTGCCCGTCCCTCTCAGGCTGGGCAGGGATGCCAGAGACACCGGCCGGGCCTCAGGGCACTCTGACAATAGAGCCCATCAGCCGCGTGACCCATCTGGCTGCCCCACCTCGGAAAGGGGGCGAATAGGGCGTGGGGCAGCGCTCTGGCCTGGGGCGGCAACGTGATCACAACGCTTCCCCCCGGCCTCGGAACCGGGATCTCTGCTGCTTTCTCGGCTGGGCTGCGGGAGGCTGCAGGAGCTCCAGCATCCCCCGTGCGGCCCCAGAGCCATGACCACAGCTTATGGGCCCTGTTCCCTTTCGGTCCCGGCTCCGGGGGAGACGCCGACCATGGCGACACGGCCGTGGGGCGGGGAGAGCTCCTGGGTTAGGGCCGCCCCAATCCGTGGGACATGCAGCCTGGTGCGGCGCCGAGCCGAGCCGGGACGTTCCCTCTGCCCCCGTGCATGGAGGGAGGTTTTAGCACATCGGGTCTTTTTAAATGTCTGGGCTGGCCGGAGACCCTCTGTCCCTGCGCCAGCTGTGGGGAAAACATGCAGGGGTTGAGCCAGCGGGAGGGGTGGGGAGGTGACAGGCCAAGAGGAAACTGGCCTCATGTTCCACTATCCCCGTGTCCTGTGCACGGGGATTGGTGCACACGCAGGGCCTGGCTTGCAGGGTGCTGCGCTGCGTCTCCTGACATCTGGCTGCAGCTGGAGATGCGGGGGGGGGGGGGGGAGGGTGTTGCATTGGGTCATTCCTCTGCTTTTGGGACTGGAATTCAGCACACGAAGTTGGGGCTGCTGATCATGGAGCGACCTTCGACCCCCGCCCCCCGCACTCAGCTCGCCTCGTAAATATCACGCGCTTGGATGCCGGCCAAGCAATTTCCTGCCCACCTGACTGGCCTGATAAATCCTTCATTAGGTTGAGCAAAGGCTTCCTCCGCAGCGTCTGCCTTCACGGCTGTTAAACAGCTGCTGAGCCCCTCCCAGAGGTGGCTGCATCTCAGAGCCAAGGGAGGGGTCCCTTGTAGACATAGTGTGATCCTCCCAACACGGGAACCATCCCGCTTGGGGGGCCCCCCTCCCATGAGCACTGACGGGGCACAGACAGGCCTGCCCCACATATGCCTTTCAGAGGTGGCTGCATCCCAGTGCTGGGTGAAGCAATGCCTCTGAGTGGCCTGCAAAGCACTCTGGGAGGAAAGACAATATGGACTCCAAGCGGCCTTCCCTTAACCCGGCCTTCTCCATCCCCCTGCAGATCAGGGACGTCCAGAACGAACACCTGACCCGCTTCGTCGGAGCCTGCACGGACCCCCCAAACATCTGCATCCTGACGGAGTACTGCCCACGCGGGAGCCTCCAGGTATCGCTGGGTGTGACGGAGCAAGGAGCAGGGCAGATTTG